ATATATTATCTAAGATAAACAGTTGGCCAGTCATAACTCTTCTTTTTCTTTTTTACAAATTTATAGACACCGTCTTAACAGAGTGACTCAATATCGTAATTTATTATAACAAAATACACTACTCATAATAAAATTCAGCAAATTCCGGTAAAGAATCTGTACTGCAGGATGTTTTCCTTCAATCTTTTTTGTATCAATATCACTTCGCGTGTAATTTCTTTCTTTTTCTTTTACCATTGTACATTTATATCACATATAATGTACATAATAGATAAAACGAATTTCAAAATAAATCATATAAATTATAAAAGATTGTATATCAACATGTATAAAGATACTTTTTATAAAGACACAAATACAAGATCTCAAATACAAACAGGTAGCTAGCAATCCAACCTGTAAATATTCTGAGATATCTTTGGGTACTTTGTTATTTTTAAGTAATGAATTGATATATTTACCGAACATGCACGAAAATAGAAAACTAATAAAAAATTTTGACAAATCTTATAAACTATCCATTTTACGTTCAAAAAAATAACATCAAATAGGTAGCTTAGTAATAAATTCATGAAGATGTGGGAAATTAACTAAAGAGAGAAACCAATTACGTATTAGAATAAAATCTAACATCTGAATGTAAGACAAATCGCCTTTTTTTTCTCCCGTTTTTCCTCCCTTTATGAGGTGATAAAATGAATCGTTGTTCATTTTTTGTTTTCATTTTACTTTTATATTATTTCGGCCCTTGGTCACTATCCATTTTCAGATTATTATCATTTATAATTATTGTTGTCACATTAGTCTGAATTTGGCAAACGTTTACGACCATGTTTACAATAGTAATCTCGAAGTGTATGGACTAAAAACAATTGTAGATTACAATTTGAATAATTAATAGCCCAATCTCATTAGCTGCCCAGGTGCATTATTCTTCTATGGCACCAGGAATACGCTGACATCTTTCCTGGTTGAATCCACGCGTACCATCAGGCCCTCTTGGTTGCCTGACCACAGTTAATTTTGGGCCTGAATCTTCTAGCGATGTAGTACGTAATCGACTTATTAATCGCTCGGGTCGTTGCTGAACTGTATCACTAGTAATAAAAATTTGTAAATAAAATTACACTGCCATTAGTATAGGGTCTTTCAATAGAGACGCTCGAAATTTGTTAGATCATAATAGCCATGTTGTTAAAGTGACATCTGTCAAATTTGTTGAATTGTTTAATAGTGTATGGCAAATCACCAAGGTCATAGTATTGAACAACATGTGCAAATCATAAAATTTTATTATCAAAATCAGTTCGAAAAACGTTCCGTGCATTACGTGATTTTTATCCTCGCCACAACCGTCCTGCCGAGTCGACTATTCGACATTTGGTGGCCAAATTCGACCAAAGTCAACTGGTTCGATAAATAATCAGCCAACACCAGTACGTCAAAACGCAAGGTCTGCTGAAAACATCGCTGCTGTGTGTGAGAGTGTACGGGAAAACCCGAGGCAGTTAATTTCTCGTCGTTCACAAGAACTTGGCCTTTCTGCGACTTCAACTTGGCGAATTTTGCGTCGGGACTTGGGTCTGCACCCCTATAAAATTCAACTGACCCAGGAACTTAAAGTAAACGACTATAGACAACGCGGTGTGTTCGCTGATTGGGTTCTGGAGCAGTTGGAAGTTTCGCTAAACAAATCATCTTTAGCGATGAAGTCCATTTTTGGATGAATGGATATGTGAACAAGCAAAATTGTCGAATTTGGGACGATATCCACGCGAGATACACCAGCTCCAAATGCATCCCGAAAAAATCACTGTTTGGTGCGGATTTTGGCGGAATCATCGGTCCGTACTTCTTCCAAAACGAAGCGGGCATTGCCATAATCGTCAACGGCGAGCGTTTCAAATCGATGATAAGCAACTTCTTGTGGCCTAAAATGGATGATATGGATAATATGTGATTCTAACAGAATGGCGCCACACACCGCATGCTATGATGGACATTCTGCACGAGCGATTTGAGGGCATGGTTACCTCGCGCGGCGGCGATGTGAACTGACCACCGAGATCGTGCGATTTAACGCCTTTAGATTTCTTTCTTTGGGGCTATCTTAAATCGCAGGTCTATACGAATAAACCGCAAATAATTGAATGCTTTCAAAGTCAACATAACAAACGCCATCCAGCAAATTCAGCCAGATTTATGCGAGAAAGTCATCGAAAATTGGATCGCCCGAATACGTGTCATCAAGCGAAGCCGCGGTGGACATTTGAGCGACGTTATATTTCATACTTAATGTCATAAAATATTCTTTCAAATAAAAAAAAAATTGAGTGGATGTCTTGCACACAACTTGTTTTATTTATATTTAAAAATCGAGCGTCCTTATTGAAAGACCCTTTATAAAAAAAATTTAAAAAATTAATTTACCTTAATCGAGTTACGTTGCATGCTGACGATTTACCAGTGCGTTGATTAGTAACCAAAACGAATTCTACCTGATCTCCCGGCTGCAGCGTAACATGATCTCGAACTTCACTTACATGGAAGAATAATTTTCTGCCCTCATCGACTTCGTAAGCGAGAAAGCCGAAAGGACCCTTCATCGCGTCCACAGTAGCTCTTCTTTTTTTCCTGACGGCTATGATGTTACAAGCATGACCTGCTGAATCGACCTGTAATTGCACAGGATCGCCAGCCTGCAATAGCTCCCGTTTGTTAGAAAGTCCCATGATTCCGAATTCATATTCTGGCGTCTCCTCATCTTCATTAGTTGGATTAATCTTGATCAAACCAGCGTACTCAGTTTGCTCGGGATTTGCACTTCGCAGTGGTCGCACTACAGTACCGTCGAGTACCTCACTAACAGGTGTTGGCCTGGGAATACTTCCGCGAGATACCAGTTTAACATGATCAGCAGCTACACAACCTCCAGAACCTCTTCCATTGCTCGAATTACTAATTGTACATTCGATATCGGCTCCTAATTCCAATGTACTAGCGTCGCCTTCAAAATTACTGTGAATAAAATATTATTTATGCATACACACACACGCGCGCGCGCGCACACACACACACACGTATATGTATATGTATATATGTATGCATCGTTCATAAAAATTAAAGTATATCTCTCACCTGTAGTGAAAAAATATTTCTCTATCATGATTTACTGTCTCAATAAAGCCAAACCCGTCTTTAAGGGCGGCAATAAAACCTTGACATATTTGTCCATTTGATTTTTTGTTAACATTTTGAATTTTTTCACCAGCGGCATTTACTAAAAATATGTCTTCAGCAACAAGTTCTTTATTTCGTTTCACTTGAACAATATTGAACATTACCTATAAAGTTAAATAAATATTTACAGCAAAACATATAGAGCAAGTATTTAAAAAAAAAATGGACTAAATTTCTTATATAAACTTTATATTAATTCACCTTATCACCCAATTTTGGAATATGTTTAGGATCGCAATCTTTGGAGAAGAAAATAATGCTTTTCTGCTGGCCATAATTAATGAGACCAGGTTCCATCGAATTTGTGTCTTGTGCTACAGTACCTAATATATCTTTTTCTATAATAGTTTGAAATGTTACGGTACCCATTGGCAAATGTTTCAGTCTAATAGCACTTTGTCGAGTATTAGAGAATGATGATGACGGATCCTTATGAAAAAGAACAAAATCATAATTAAAATGAAAAAGAATTATATATATATATATATATA